GTCCTTGAGGTATCTGGGAGGCACAACTTGACGTCTCACACATCGCCGTGAAACACCAGATACACGATGAGGAGTTGAAGGGACAATGTCTGATTGGTGTATCACCACATGGCCAGAGGGGGAAGTCGTTACAGTCTCAGACCGAGGAGAAGGGGACAAAGGAGAGTGGGAATGGGGTCTTGACTGGTTTAGAGGTGGTGGCTGACAAACCTGAGGGTCTGATGAGGTTGCAGGGCTGCGGCACTGAACATTCCAGCTCCCTTCAGCTGCAGATTTTGAAGCTGTGAAGGGCAACGCACCTGATAATGCAGTCAACTGTGGAATCTGGGGCTGTACAGGTATGTCACCAGCAGGTGAGTTGGTTCCACCTTTAGGAACAGGTGCTTTGTACGGCCTGAGACGATTGTAGTGAACGATTTGAGTCTTGTCTGATTGGTCCAGGAGGTAGCGAATCCTGTACGTGACACCAGGGTTTTCTCCATCTGTTCCAAGGCACTCCAATATCTCAAAGGGCCCCTTCCAATGTGGAGCAAGTTTCTGCTTTGCTGTAGTGGGGTCATTTAACCACACCAAGTCACCCGGAACATAAGGAGTGTGTTTGATGCCCCTATCGTACAATTGTTTCTGCTGGTTGTGGGCACAATCTCTGTTCCATGCAGCAGTGCTGAAGGCAGACTGAAGTCTCTGAGTCAACTGGGTGACGTAGTCAGCAGGAGAAACAGAAGTAGATGATGCTGACATGTTGGTAGGCAACAGCATATTAGCAGGCATCCGTGCCTCATGTCCATGTGTGAGAAAAAATGGCGTAAATCCCGTGGTAGAGTGAGGACTGGTGTTGTAAGCCAAAGCAACTTGATTGAGGCAGTCATCCCATTCGCCAGGCTGCTGAAGGAGTAACTTAGCTAACTGGTCAATAAGTGTTTGATTGAACCTCTCGACCATCCCATCGCATTGAGGGTGATATGGGCTGGTCCGTGTCTTCTGGATGCCTAGCAGCTGACACAGATGTTTCACCAGGTCAGATTCAAACTGACATCCTTGGTCTGTGTGTAGCATTTCAGGGACGCCGTGCTGACAGATGAAGTTGTCAAACAGGCATTTTGCAACTGTTGTGGCACGTTGGTCTGCGATAGCATAGAGATTGACATATTTCGAGAAATAGTCTTGAACAACGAGCACGTACCTGTTGGCACGACTCGTAATGGGGAGTTCAAGTATGTCAGCTGCCACCTTTTGAAATGGCTCCGCAGCAACAATTGTTTTCATTGGAGCTCTGTGATGAGGTGTGGGATTCCGTCTGGCATCACATGGGGTGCATTGTGTGCACCATATTCTGATGTCACGTGACATGAATGGCCAGTAATATAGCTGCTGAGCACGTTTCAGGACCTTATCTGCTGATAGGTGACCGGACACTGGGTTGCCATGCAGCAGCTGTAGGACAGTGTCTTTTAAAGATTCAGGAACAACCAACTGATGCAACACTGACTTTTGGGACGGGTTGAAAGCTTTACGACAGAGTAAGCCATTGTGAAAGGTAAGTCTAGAGTACTCGTGCCATAGCACTTTTTCCTGAGGTGGGCATTTTTTCATACGCCAGTAGGGTGGTTTCTGACCCTTAGCTTTCCAGCCAATGACTTCTGACAGTACAGGATCTTTTTGTTGTTCACTTTTGAGATCATCTTCAGGCAGCTCAAGCACAAATGTGGATGAAACAGATAGCGCTGCACACTGCAGTCGTGGATCAGGAAGGTCATTGCATGGAATGTGTTTTTGGTCAGTACTGCAGGGACTATGGTTGGGCGGGCCTGCAGGACCCACGCACCTCTCTTCAGGTTTCAAGGTAGCAGAAGCAGTGCAGACTGTGTCCTGCTCTACGGTTTCACCAGTGACAGGGCGACGTGACAGTGCGTCCGCATTGAGGTGGCGGTGGCCATCTTTATGAATCACAGTCCACTCAAAAGGATCAAGTTCAAGAGCCCAGCGAGCACGGCGACCAGTTCTATCACTGTCAATGGCTATTTTCCGAAGACCCAGGAGGGGCTTGTGATCCGTGACAATAACAAATGGCTGCTTATAGAGGTAGTGCCGAAAATGTCTAACTGCCCAAACAATGGCCCAGAGTTCTCGATCATAAGTCGACCACTTTCTTTCTGCCTTTGTAAGCACATGGCTAGCATAGGCAATGACTTTCTCTTGCTGTCCCTGTTTTTGAGCTAGTACACTGCCAATAGCTGTGCTAGAAGCATCAGTATACAGAGAAAATGGCAATGTGAAGTCAGGGAATGAAACCACTGGAGGGTTTGAGAGGGCATGTTTCAGATACATGAATGCATCCTGGCACTGAGAAGTCCATTGAAAAGGTGCATGCTTCTCAGTGAGAGCATGTAGGGGGACACTGTGGTGCGCAAAGTTTTGAATAAACTTGCGATAATATGAACAAAGTCCAAGGAATGATCTTACTTCTGTCGCTGTTTGTGGAATAGGCCAGGCTTGCACACTGTTCACATTTCTGGGGTCAGGCTGGATGCCATGTTTTGATACAATGTGGCCCAAAAATTGTACCTGATCTTTGGCAAAACAGCATTTTGAGGGGTTTAGCTTCAAGCCACTTGCCCGGAATCTGCCGAAAATTTCTTCCAGATGCTGGAGATGTTCTGCGAAAGAGCGGCTGTAAATGAGGACATCATCCTAAGCAGGTTTTCCAGGGAAGGCCACGAAGTACCATCTCCATTAACCGCTGACATGTGGCTGGAGCGTTTGTGAGTCCCATGGGCATAACAGTGAAGTGGTAAAGTCCACTGCCGGTTGTGAAAGCAGTTTTCTCACGATCCTTCTCTTCCAGTTCAACCTGCCAATAGCCATGTTGAAGGTCCATTGTGGAGAACCAGGCAGAACCTGACAGCGCAGCCAGTGCATCATCAACCCTTGGAAGAGGATGAGAGTCTTTAATTGTCACTGCATTGAGTTTCCTATAGTCGAGACAGAAACGCCACGTACCATTTTTCTTTCGCACCAGAACCACTGGGGCGGCCCATGGGCTGTAGCTTTCTTCGATGACACCTGCCTTTAAAAGGTTGTCAACTTGAGTCTGTATTTCAGCTCTCTGTTCAGGTGTCACTCTATAGGCTCTTTGTTTAATCGGTGTAGCATCACCTGTGTGAATATGATGCTTAATTATGCCTGTGTGACCTCTGTCCTCTGAGTGCTTACTGAAGATTCCTGAATACTTCTGGAGAAATGATTTCAGGGACTGAACCTGGGAGTGTGACAAGTTTGTTTCATCTATTTCTACCGGCAGAGTCGAATCATACACAGGTGAAGTAGCACAACATGTCTGCTCCAGTGGAATGATATCAACAGATGAGCCTGAATGAAACTCACCAAGATGCTGTCCAGGGTACAGTTCGATTTCATCACTGGAGGGATTAAGCATTCGAACCACTGTAGTACCATTCTGAACTTCACTGAGAGTGTGAGCCACAACAATGTCACATGTTGGATTAGGGACCAAGAAACCACAGTAGTCTGTTGGAACAGGAGAAGCCGGTGTGGCTGCTGACACACAGGCTGTGATCAGAGTTTCGCTCATAGCTGGAATTTTGGTTGGTGCTAACACGGAAACATTACAGCAGGCAGCCACCTCATGTCCTTTGGGCAACAGGGGAATTTTCATGTCCCACAGTTGCAGCACTTTGTTTTTGAGGTCGAGAAGAGCATGGTGCCTCTGCAGAAAATCCCAACCTAGAATGACTGGCTGGTAAGCACCTCTGAGGACTTCAAAGTCCTGCTGCCATACCTGAGTCCCAAGCCTAATACCAACGGTTAACTTGCCTAAGATTTCCAGATGTTCTCCATTGACCGAACGAGCTGGCACAGAGGATGCTACCATGGGCCGTTTTTTCAAAGCTGGATGAGCGTTTCGAAAATCTTCACTCACAAGGGAGACAAAGGAACCAGAGTCAATTAGAGCACACACTTCAATGCCCTCGACAATAGCCAAGACGTTAGAGGAGACTGAGCCATCAGATTCTGAGGGGAACCTGGGGATGTGGTTTTGGGGCCCTGATACTGTAGCTGATGTTTGCCCCTCAACAGCAGCTAATGAAAGTTTCCCTGTGGGCCGGAGGTGAAATGTGCAGGCCTTTCCGGGGACTGGAAACGAACACCGGTCCTACTGTAGGACGCAGGATCTCTAGCTCTACGTGGAGCAGGACTGGGACTGCGTCGGTATCTGTTATTGTCAGGGTAATTGTACCTGGAATACTGGGGGGGCTGTTGGGAAGGGTATGTGCGTTGATCGTGTTTCTCACATTTGTCCCACTCATTGAACCTCTGGGGAACAGGGGAAGAAGGACGTTCACGGTGAGACTCTGGATCACGATGATAACGCCTCTCAGGCGAGCAATAGTCTCTGGAATGTTGTCTGGCATGATAAGGCGACGGGGACGCACTGCTGGTGCTGTACTGAACATTGGAAGAGGAGGATCTATCACGACTGGAGTCCAAACGTTGGGCAAGGTAACTCTGTTTCTCCCGTAACTGCTGTATTTCATGTTTCAGGCCGGTTACAGTAAGCGTGAGCTCCTCAACCGCTTGAAGAAGTTTAGCATCAGTCTAAACATTCAAACATGTAAACATGTAAATATCAAAACACGTAACCACCAAATACATAACTAGTTTTATAACCTTTGTAAACACCTCTTTGTATATCAAAGTAGATTTTAATTTACTTCTACACTTTACACATATATAATTCCATAATTTGTTCCCCCTGTCCAAATCATGAACAAACAGTATCCCATAGTTGTTTATGTTTTTAAACCCATTTTTCAAGAAGATTTTTCTTGTAAAACAAAGTAAATGTGTGTGTGTGTGTGTGTGTGTGTGTGTGTGTGTGTGTGTGTGTGTGTGTGTGTGTGTGTGTGTGTGTGTGTGTGAGTGTTTTTTTTTTAGAAGACCTGGAAACGGAGACATTGGTTACACATTGCTATCCTTACCATGCTGTCCTCTGGGGCCTCCGTGTTAGATTTGAGTGGGATTCCTCCAGTGTCTCCAGAGTCATAAAGCTGCAATTTCTCTCTCTTTTTTAGACAGAAAAATGCAAGGACTGGGACTGCAACAAAAAGCAGGCATATTCAAAATCAGAGCTCACAGAGTGCTTTTATGTGTGGTATACCTACACTATTGTATGCAGCATTGTTCACTTCCTAATATGCAATGAGCAAACTACAAGAGAACCCCCATCTAACCCTTACAACTTAATCACAGTGGGAGACTCACAAAGCAGTAGGAGGAGGACCACAGGACACAGTATAGTCATAATTCCCAGTAGTCCGAAGGACACAGACCTGCAGGAAAAGGTGAATCAGTCATTTTTCCAAGTGTCCAAAAAGCAACCACACCCCATCTTACCCTGAATCCATATGTAACAAGTGTCACCTGGCAGTTTGTTGCTCTCTGCCAGGTGATTGGCTGAAGAGCTGTGAAAAGGTAGTGGGTGTGTGCGGTGAAGTCAGTGCTCTTCTGTGGAAAAAAACCAGAGGCGATTAATTCGCTTGGGTGTGAGTGGGTATACCAAGCCTATTCAAATGGCGGCCCAGAAGCAACCTGCGAGTGGCCCTGCCTGTGGTCCTGGCAGAAACACAGAGAAAACGCAAAAAATTAGTTAATTTAAAAAAAAATTAAAAATTCCTACAGCGTAGTGTAGACTGTGAATGCAACACTCCTAGTAGCCTAGCAATATTTAACCCACAATGCACCGTGATGTAAACATATTAAACAATCATCGTAATATATGATGCGACAACAGCATGTCTTTCTCACTCCAAAAGCGCAAAATTGACAATGAAAACTGTCGGTTTAACCCTGCCTGTACTGACACTTATTCATTTTACCGAGTTGAATAATCTTACAACCGGAGTTGTACTACCATGGTGAGGGTCCTGTACAGCCCAAGAGAGAGCGGCAGCATCTTCCCTTCGTGTTTGCTTCTTGGCGAAGAAGAAAAGGCCTTTCACAGATTCTGAAACAATGAAATACTGCATGCTGGCCGTGGTGGATGCGGTGAAAAGTGATGAAAAAATTAAAGTAAGTGTGACATCTGCTATTAAAAATGTACCCCTGTAGGACAGTTCAAATATTTGTAGAGTTGAAGTTCTGCCATCAGAGGAGTTTGAAATGCTGTTAAATGACCTGAAGAAAACTGATGTAATGTCTATAGCAGGGGATCACTGACAGAACTGATAATGCACAGTTGTGTGTATATGTCCGTTTTTTGGATGGGAAATTGTTCGACTTGCTACCGTTAGAGGGACACACAGCTGGCGAAATGATGTTTGAGAAGATTTAAGCTCTTTTTGAGGAAAATGGTCTGGATATGAAGTGTGTCTGTATACTTGTGACGGATGGGGCTCCATCCATGGCAGGAAAAGTGAGTGGTCAGCGAAATATTTATTTTAATTTGAAAGGGAATTATCAAAATGTTTTTTTGTTAATATTATTATTATTTCAAATGTGCAAAAAATAGTTTAGTTATAGCTCCCTTTTTTTAAAATGGACCTTTTGGTGTGCATTTGTGAGAGGTCACCAGATTTACAGGGGAATAGGAATAAAAAAAAATACTTGTTTTTCAATACAGTTGTGTGGGTTTGAAATTGATCATGATCTGCTGCTTACTGGCTTCAAAAAAAAATATCTGGCCCAGATAAATTCCTCGGTTTGAAAAATCTGGCCAAACTAACTTCGTAGTTGAATAGGCATGGGGTATACTGTTGGTAAGAGTCTTTTGCCATTTTGTTTGGATCATTTGTTATTGTAGGTGCCCATTTTTAATGTGTGTCGTTGGACTTTTTTAGTGTTTTAAAAGAAGAATTGAATTTAATAGAAGAAACGGCCCTAGATCGACTGCGTGCAGGGAAACTGATCAATATTGTAGGTATATTGATTGTTTTTTTTTAGCTTTGTGATTTTGAATGGTTTGAAGTCCCGTCTCTCTTGTTTATCGCCCAATTTGCACCAGAACGGGGAAACCGGCAGATGTCACGCTAAACAACAGCAGCAGGTTTAAGCTTGATCAGCTGTTGTTAGAATTCATTTAATATTGATTTCTAGTATCAGCTGATATTTGCTGGAGCCAACAGCTGTAAAAGCTGCTGGTCATGATATCAGTTTGGTGAGAGGGAAACATGAAGATGAAACCAGGAGATGTCCTTACTGAATCATCAGAGCTGAACAGGTAATGAAGAAACAGGTTTACCTTTTAGGTGACATGAATGAGTTGAAAGGAAGTTATGAACTGTTTCTGAGAGACAAATAACACCAGGATGCTTTTCTAAGTAGCTGACAGCTGGTAAGTGTGCAGGGGTGGATCTAGCAAAGTTTTGCCAGGGGGCCAGGTAGGGCATTAACAGGGAGAGGGGGGCACAAAGAAATACGTTTCTTTCTTATTTTCATTTAAAATGTCTCGCTGTTATTAAATAATTGTCTGAATCTTACAACCAAAGTTTTTATCTGATGTAACATGTATAGAAATCCTGCATATATACCAACAAGACTGTACATCACTGTCACAACAGCGTTTGTTTTCATTGACAGGCTCTATTGCTTTTCCTATAATACCTGGTGAGCGGGTCTCTGGTCAAAATTCCCGGGCTGATCTTTTGTCCCAGTCCAGCCCTTACTGCATCCACTTTTTCAACATTGACATTCACAGGGATGGACTGCCACGTGGCACTGCTGCCATTCAGTGATGCTACATTTTGTGCAGTGATCTGAAGCTGGACATCGTTGGTCTTCTCATAGTCTAATGGCTGGAAAAAAGAAAGACATTTTAAAGTTTATAAATATAAATCAGTTGTATATAGGCTGACTTTGCATTAGATGTGATCCATGCAAAATGCTTCCACCAACATCACTAAATGATAATAATGAATTGAATAATAATCCAGTCTCACCTTTGAGATGTACAAAAGCCCTTCGTCTGTTTGGGGGTCAGTAACTATCCTGAAATTTCCATTTTCGTTTCCTTTAGTAATAACAAACTTTGACATCCAGTTTGATGTGTTTATCAAATCTTTATCTTGAACAGGAATTCGAAGTAAAAGTTTTTCACTTTCATCTTCTTGCACAGTAACATTATACTACAAGAAAAAAAGCAGAGGGGGTTAATTGCTGTTTAATTATGTCAGTAAAAAGTATTTTGGTGAAATAAATAGAAAAAGGACGCTAAAATCAATCGATATGATTTCAGTTATTCAGCCAAATTACAAACTGACACTTCTTTCAAACACTTACAGTTGATTTCATGAAGGTTGGTGGATTGTCATTAATATCACTCAGAGCAATTGTTGCTGTCGATGTGGCAAACAGACCACTTGGTGCACCATTCATATCCTGGATTTTTACAGTCACCACATGGTTGTCTTTTAACTTTAAAAGAAATGTTAGAAAAGTATTATAATAAAAATATGTTGTAAAGCACTTGCATCATCAATTTTAATAATGCAAGTTTTCAATTACATAAAGTTCACAGGTATCAGTGATGCAGAGGCAGTGCTCACCTCTCTGTCTAGGGTGTTGGTTGTTGTTGTGATGACACCTGTTTCTGGATGAATGGTAAACATGTCTGATCCAGATACGAGTGTATATTTAATCTTCACATGGTCTGTGCCAATTTGGTCTCTGTCAGTTGCACTCACCACTCCCACCACAGTCCCTGTATTGTAACCCATAATCATTTAGAGCAACTGCACTGAAAATCAAATACAACAGAATCAACTATTACTGTATGTTGTCTTTCTCACCTGCACTACAGTGCTCAGGAACTGTAAAGTGTAAAGGACCTACGAACTCTGGAGCATTGTCATTGACATCATCTACAATCACTCTCAGGGGTATTTTCTCATCTAGCTCCGCATTAGTATGCTTGTCAAAAACAATCATCAAAATCTATAGAGGGAAAACAAACAAACGTTTGACTAGTTTGATGCACACAAATATAGAAAGCAGAGTCAGGAACATAACAAGACTCCATATGTGAACTGTGCCAGTTCCAGGTTTGAATGAAAAAATAAATAAACAAACATGCTCAGTAGAGGATTGATTACGCTGCAACTATTTGAATGATTGATAAATCACCCGTTAAAGATGACTGTGGAACATTATTGGAACTCTTTACAAATCTTCTAAACCAGCGTCATCTTCACACTCACATTATATGCTGGGAACTCCTCACGATCCACCGCTTTGAGCAAGAACAGATCCCCCGTGTCTCTGTCTATACTGAACACTCCAGTTGGATACGTATCGACTCCCTCTCCTTCAATAAAGTACCAATAACGTCTGTCTGAGGAATATGGCCCCACCTACAGCAGAAACCAAATAAAATGATACATATTAAGGAAAAGAAAAAAAAAAAGGATTCTGTTATTCATAAAGTCTTTACAATCTGATGTGTATTGACAATAAACATTTGTATACCACAGTGATCATAAATGATAAAAATTAAACATTCAATTCACCCTGTCAATTAGTTTTGGATAGCTCCCTTCATAATTCTCCACTATCGTTTGCGACGGGAAAACACGAAAACATCTTCTAGAGCGGTTCAGGGAGCCTTGGCCTCGTCGCTATGACATTCCAACAAGTTTGGACATGTTAGAAAAAAGATGCACTGTTCCTTCTGACCTGTATAAACGACTCACAATATGCAGTTGCCTTACATGTCTTTTCGGCTTTGTACTGCGGACAAGGTGAACTTCCATCTTTCTTTCGAGTCCACTATTGTCCCGAGCAGACACAGAAAATATCCGTCCTCCTTCTCCCACTGAGACAGATGTTAAAGCTACGACTGCTCCGTTACTTTTTATTGTTAAACTCGGGTCCTTCACAGTTAACTGCACTGATTTTGCATCACAGCCGACGGTTTCAACTGAAAAGCGAGAAAGTGAAAGTTAAAAAGAGACATAAAACACAAAACATTCGGCTTACAACACTTTTTCAAACAGAAGGAATAACACAAATACACAGAGCGGCACCTTTTGCTACTTGGTATCCAGCTGGAATTATTTCAGGTACAATTACGTAGAGAGATCTCAGCAGAAAGCACGACTCCACACAGGACAGGATCTGGAGGTGAAAGTGAGTTTCAAACTGACTTGTCATGTTTAAATGTTTTAATACTTCTTGGCATGACAAAAGTGACAGAAAGTAAACATGTATCAATCATGTAGGAGTGCTACATGACCAAACTAGAAGCACTTACCAGCATTAGGTAGGTGGAGGAAATCAAAATGTTCCCCATCTTAGAAAAAAAAATAGACTGACTTTGTCCTGCGTCAAAGTGTTGGGAGTCTGGTTAGTGTAAGTGTGTTAACTCAAGAGCTTCTTCTCTTGTCTATTGCTTCACTTCTCTATCAATGTAAAAAGGCAGGCGTTTCTCAGACAGCACACCCCACTATCGCATGAGTTCTGCTGTTTGACTGAGGATAAATAAAGTAGTTGTGGTAAACCAATCACATGACTACTTCAAGATGACAAAGCAAAAAGATGATATATAACAGTTTTTCAGTTGTGTTGATAGGCCACGTAAAACCAGAGTCATGATAAACAATATATACGTGGCATCTTTTCCTCACCTGTAATGTCTAAGGACAGCTCTAGCAAGCACTCTCAGCTTATGAGCATAAAAAAAGAAACAAAACAAAGAACATCTGTGTTGGTGGAAAAATGTAAAATGTTGACCAATCAAAAAATGTTCTGGCAACATGACATTTGGATGTTTAGAAAGAGGGGGGGATTTAAGGAGTGATGGTGAGAGAGAGACAGAGAGACAGAGAGAGTTTGTGAGAGATTTAGCGTGTTTGGAGTGTGTATATGCGGTTGTTACAGTAAAAAATGTACCTTTTTCTAATCAGAGTTTGTTTTTTGTCTGACTTTAGATCAGTTGTGCTAATACAGTATGTCAAAATGAAAACATAACTGTAAATTCAGACATGTGAGGTTGTGCTGAAAAGAATGACATAAGTGAAACCTAAAATGGGACTGAACTAAACAAACTATGACGACAATGACAGGCCACTGAGTGTTTGCTTTCAGCAGTTCAGGTTCATGCTCATGTCATGTTTAAAGTACTTCACGTTCAAGGTTTTTCATTCACCTGTTCAGGTTTCATCTTATGTCTCGTGTCATTGTCTCCATAGTTTGTTTAGTTCAGTCCCAGATTAGGTTTCACTTTTGTTTGGTCTCGCTTTGTTTTTCTGTTTTGTTTTTTCTTTTTTTTATCAGCCGTAATAAAGGCTCACTCTTTGTTTGATCATCAGTTTATTTCTCCTATGCTTGCTTTTGGGTCCGCTCCACAAACACACCGGCCATGACGGCCGTGACAATTTTGTTTTTTCTGGGACTTCTTTTATACCACTGTGGTTGTGAATCTTACTTCACAGCACAGGTAGTCTAAATCTCAAATAGCAACAAGCAAGGTTAGAGAGTGCATTAAAGGTGAAAGTGAGTTTCAAACTGACTTGTCACCTTTAAATGTTTTAATGCTTCCTGGCATGACAAAAGTGACAGAAAGTAAACATGTATCAATCATGTAGGAGTGCTATAAAACCAAACTAGGAGCACTTACCAGCATTAGGTAGGTGGTGGAAATCAAAAGTTTCCCCATTATTGGAAAAAAAGATTGACTTTGTCCTGCGTCTGGGAGTCTGGTTAGTGTAAGTGTGTTAACTCAAGAGCTTTGTCTCTTGTCTATTGCTTCACTTCTCTATCAATGTCAAAACACAGGCGTTTCTCAGACGGCACACCCAAGTGGAATTTTAAACAAGCGAAGTAGCTTCGGGCTGTGCTCGCTGGTGTCTGCTGAGAAAGCTCCCTGAAAGTTGCAGATATTCAAGTGTTTTTTCCCCACCAGCAGGGGCAACATGTCTATTTTACTGCAAGACATTAAACCGCGACTAAATGCTTTACTATTTCCCCATGTAGCATTATTTATAGAAATCTGTGCATATGGAGTATAAACAATATTCTTATAACACTACAGCATGCTGCAGGTACACGTATTTGAAGAAATACTGGTCTGTCTGCTTTTTTTGCCAAGACTTGTGTGCAGTAATGAATTAGTCATTGCTCATCAGGACTAATACAGTTTCCTAATACAACACATCTACCAGGATTCACAGTTGTGGCCAACCAGCAAACCAACAGTAGTATCAACACTAAGATTTTGCTTAAACCCCACCAAAAACTAACCTTAGACCGAACCAGTTGTCACAAACAATTTTTCTTGTTGCCACCTGGAAAAAGTAAAAGAAAGTCAATAATGATAAGACTATCTATGCACTTCCTAGGAAAATGTTTTAAATAAGTCAGTGTTTTATAGCTTTTCTCATTGCCAATAAAGCCAGCATTTACAAAAAACCCCCCCAAAAAACTAATCTGTATGTTGTTAGGTGGGACATAAGCTGTGCTTGTTACTTGTGATACCACATATAACAACCCATTGTATAGGTGGCTGTGAAAAATATGCATATAGGCAAGGTAAGTTTATTTGTATAGCACAATTCAACAACAAGGTGATTCAAAGTGTTTTACAGAGACATTAAAAACAAAAACAAATAAAAAGCATGATTTAAAATTGATTAAAACAAGCAAACAAACAAACAAACTAATTAACAAACAAACAAAACAGTATATAAAATCAAAAATCAGAACAATAGATAAAATCAGTAGTTAAAATGTTAGTTTTGAAATTTAAGCTTAAATGTGTGGAATTGGTGTTTTATTCAAATGCAGCTGAGAACAGGTGAGGGCACAAAACATCAGGCCTGACATTAGAAAGTGATCATGGCTGCCATGACTGGATATAAATGTTGATAATATAGCACCAGGATATCAGACGATGGCAGACCTTCCACATGATCGCATCTCACCAGGTGAACCTATATTCTCTCAGGTTGGAGTAGATTGTTTCGGACCTTTTTAGGTTAAGTGTGGAAGGTGTGAAGTAAAGAGGTATGGAATTATCTTTACATTTGTGGCAGTGAGAGGTGTGCATTTAGAGGTGTTGTCATCTTTGAGCACGGAGTCCTTTATTAATGCTCTCCGACGATTTGTATCAAGGAGGGGTCAGGTATCGGATAATGGTACAAACTCTGTGGGTGGTGAACATGAGTTGAAAGAGGCAGTGGAAGGATGGAATCAGGCTCAGATTCATGAGATGCTGCTGCAAAAAGGCATAAAGTGGATTTTTAATCCTCCTGCTTTTTCCCATCATGGCGGGGTTTGGGAACGTCTCATAAGGTCTGTCAGGAAGGTGTTAAATTCCATTTTGAAAGTGCAGAATTTGGACGAAGAAGGCTTCGTTCTTTGGGGCGATCGTGGCTCAAAGAGTTGGGAGTTCGTCTTGTAATCGGAAGGTTGCCGGTTTGAGCCTGGGCTCGGACAGTCTCGGTCGTTGTGTCCTTGGGTAAGACATTTCACCTACCGCCTACTGGTGATGGCCAGAGGGGCCGATGGCGCGATATGGCAGCCTCGCTTCGGTCAGTCTGCACCAGGGCAGCTGTGGCTACAACTGTAGCTTGCCTCCACCAGTGTGTGAATGTGAGACTGAATGAATAGTGGAATTGTACAGCACTTGAGGGCCCCGAAAAGCGCTATATAAATGCAATTCATTATTATTATTATTTGTGAGGCAGAGGCTATTGTACATGGCTACAGTACATGTCTGACCTGTTCTGGAAGCGCTGAGTGAAGGAGTACCTGCCCCAGCTTCAAGAGTGTCAGAAGTAGCAGAAAATTGAACTAAACTTCATTCCTGGGGATGTGGTTATCGTGGTCGATGATTCTGCGCCTCGTAACTCTTGGGTGATTGGAAGGGTTGTGGAGGCAATTTCTGACGGTAAAGGACTTTTACGTCAGATTCGTATTAAAGCAAAGACTGGTTGTTTGGACAGGGCGATCACTAAAGTGTGTCTTCTACAGGAAGCAGAACAGTCATGAAGATTTTCAAATGTCTATTTGTATTAATGTGTATTTGTTTATTTTGAATTAAAATTGTATCCTTGAATGTTTGATAAAGGATTGATCGTGTTTATCAATATGTCTCCTACATGGTAAGTATGATGTAATTATTGCTCTAAAATAATTAGGGGCTGGTATGTAGGAGCCATATGAGTTGTTCCTTTTTTTGGTTAAGTGGGTTGGTTTAAATGCACTGACTGTATTGGTGCATGGGTGTGGGGCATGACTCATGGTTGCGTTAGGTGATAAATGTGGTTGCACTCACTTGTTCACCGCCCCTGTTGTTGATGAGAAGAAAGGTGTGGTGAGGATGAGGGGAAACCTTTTGTTGAGCGCAACTTGATGTTAATTGATGACTTGATGCACTAAGTTATGCCATAGGTGAATGTTGTAGTTTAGCATAGTGATTGATATAATTCTTTGTGAGTTGCAATTATTTTGTTTGTGCAGTCTGTGCATTTGTTTAATGGTTTGATGCCATGTGCTGACTTGTATAGTGGACAGTACCATGTGGAATAAAAGGTACAAAAAGTACAGAAGTGTATTTCATGTGTTTATTGTTGCACTTCATCTGTGTCCTCATGTTTAGCCTGCCGCGGCCGTTGGTTGGAGGAGCTGCAATAAGCATGTTTTCAGTCTCTTGCCACATTAACACAGTAACACCATTTTTTTAAAAAAAAGCTTGTACTTCATTAAACTCATTAATCAATAACTATGGATTAAACTGTAGAACTGAAAAAATGTAAGAGAAGAACTTCAGATCCTGAGTGTGAGGAAAGAGAAGAATCAGCTTTATTTCAGTTTTGAGAAATAAACCTTATAGTTGAGTTTGTAATGGTTCTTTTCTCTTTGTGATTACAGGAGCTGTCCTCAGATTCACACCTCGGCACCAAACAGTGACAGTAGACAGATCATCCAACATGTTCAAATGTTAATTGCAAAATTAACTGATGAAAACAGTGCAAAGGTTAAATTACCACATGTGCTGCCAGTGAAAGCTGCAGCTGTTTTATTGATAAAGTTAAAGACAAAAAGTCAAAGAGATTAATCACCCCTGTAACTGTGTCACTATATATCTGTCATGAACTAGCTGTGTGCAGGGAGATGAGGACCCAAATGCAAAACTCACAGAGACAAAAGCTGAACTCAAAATCTCTGCTTTATTGCAGGCTTCACAAAGAAACAGAACTAAACTGGGAAAGCTACACTGAGGACCGAGAAAACACAGAGAAAGGTTCAGGGAAGAGACATTGACGACAAAACCTTGAACTGAGGGAGATGTGGGCTGTGTCCGAATTCAGGGGAAGGATGTTTAAAATGCCATATTTGGATGCAATGACGTCAAAGCGACGCGGCGAAGGCTGTCCGAATTCAAAGAGCACTCAAAATGTTGCGACAAATGCGTCCTACTTTGCCCTGAATTCTAAGGAAAAATCTGGTAGTACAAAAGTTAAATTGTTATAGCGGTTGTGTTGTTAAGCTTTGGGCATCTGCATAGACATGTTTCTTTTATTTAAAATAACCGTAAACCAGCTTGTTTCGCGGGTCCTGCGATTTTTCATGTATTGCCGCTTACATACAAATAATTTAGATTTTGTGGAATTGGTGATATGTTGTGGGGAACAAAGACCAAATGGCTTAATTTATTAAAACTGTCATGGTCCTGGGTCATTTTGACCCAGCGTTTTGTGTTTCCTTGAAGTTCATTTTTGTGCCTTGTGTTTATTCTGATTTTGTATTAGTTTAGGGTTGAACCTAAAGTTTGGTGTATATTCAGCCCTACCTGTGTCTGTCCTCGGTGCTCTGTTCATGTCCCCGTGTTGTGTTATAAATCAGTCTGTGTGTTCCTGCTTTACTTTGAAGGCTCGTGTTCTGGATTTCCTGTTCTATTCTGAAGGTCTGTGTCTGTTGTCATTGTGTTCAGCTTGTGTCCTCCAGTCATCATGTGTATTCAGATCAGCTGCTCTTCCCTCCTGTGTGCGATTACCCAATTACCTTGTGTGTGTATATATAGTGGGTATCGGTCTGTGAGTACGGTCCTATTAACCTTCATGCTGTACAGCAGCGGTCCCAACCTTTTTTGCGCCACAGATTGGTTTATGTCAGGCACGGAGCGACCTTTAAGGTATCGCGGATGAATACAACCACATAAAATGATCTGACCAAGTCAAAAACTGTGGTATTTTGTAAATATAATAATAAACGTGAATGTACTGTGTAATTGTGTAACTTTATTAACAGCGTCCTCTTGAAAATGCGCCAACATTGAGAGTAACATCCTCCTCTCTGCTGCTTAATGCTCTATGGTCGCTATGGTAACGTGTAAATATTTCTTTCAAAATAAGACACACAACTACAACAAGGGAAAGACCCAGGGAAACCGAGTTAACGATAACCCCTGAAAACCATAAATTTCACAGCGGAGCCTCAGCTCTCATGGCCCGGTACCAAACGACTCACGGACTGGTGGTGTTTTTATTTGCCTGCAATCATTTTTGATTTCCTCTGCCTTTAGGATTGCAAGTATCCAGACTCAGGAGAGGGGGTCAGTGGGAAACCCTCTGCTGCTACTTGGCCCTGGTTTGCCCTCATCCCTTATGGATGAGGTGATAGGACAGATGCCTTCCACTAAGCCTCCTGTCCCAATTTCCTCTCTCACTGAGGACACCCCAGGGCCAAGCACAGCAGTGGGTGACCAAAAGGACAGCGATGACGAAGCGGCTCAGCCACCTACGACAGGGAGAAAG